TAGCTCTTAATAAATGGGATTGAGCATGAATGCCTGTAGTACAACGTTGTGCACAAACATTGCTTAGCATTGCCATTATCTAGCAATAATCCTTATTTGGATCTTGCACAAATTTTGGCAGAACCTTCTATTTATCTAACCTGGAAATTTTTCCTGAGCAGGCTCTCTATAATTTACTCACAGAATTGGCAGTTTTCTTCCCTCTCTCTCGGCACATATTTAATAGCCACGTATTGCATTTCCATGCTAGTAAACCTTCATTATTATACAAAATGTACCAGAATGTTATGAAGAAATACCTTAAATAATTAAACAGAAACTATGAGTGACAAAACAAACGAACAAAGTGCAATTTGAGCTGTGTGATTCTTTCCTTTTTATATTCACTTATTTGCTAATTTGCTGAACTTACTGGACTGCAAATAGGTCTTGCTGTGATTAGAGAGAGTTTGCCAAGTTCCTTTGTAATTGTTTCTTTGCAATTAACTAAATAATAGAATGTTCTGTGTGTGGCTCTCTGGGGAAAGGAGCGGGCAGGTGCTTTTGCAATAGGATTTCCACATCTTCCACCCATTTCCCTGGAACTCACAGAGTTTAAAAAGGCTGGTAGAACATGAGAGAGAGAGAGAATATTGCCTCAGGACTGGAAATGAGAGAATTAACCTTTTCTTGTGACGTCTTTGAGTTTGCTTAAAGTGTTTTATGCTGGCCCTGATAGTGGCTATTCTTTGTGTAAACCTGGAAGTCCCCGGGAGGATGTCAGAGGGAAGTAACGAAGACCCAAATGTTCCTGCCTGCAGATGCCTCCACCTGGGGAAAATCCTTCAAGCTGGGAGGAGAAGTCAGCTGGGAAGATCCCGGCAACGTGGCTTTGCTGGGAAGAGAGGAGACTGGGGACTGAGCTGTTGTGGAGGGGGCAGCAATAACTGGGGGAGGCTGGAGAGCAGCCCTGGCTTTGTTATTTCCTTTGACTTTGAGCAGAAAATTACAGAGGAAGCCCTGGGAGGAGAGGAAGGGTAATTTTGATGGAGGCACAGTCCAGCTCAGCGGGAAGGAGGCACAGCTTGAGGTAAGGGCAGAGTTTGTGGAGTGGCAGAGTCAGAGGTCTTGCCTAACAGTGCAGAGACACGATTGTCTCACTGACCTCCTCTGACTGTCCATAATTTAGTCCCTGTCTCAAGAGGGTAACTCATCCATCTGCTGGCACTCAGAGTTCAAATTTGTCTTTTTTGGGGTTTTTAAAATCTATTTTGGCTAAAACCTTTTGTAGCACATATTGGATCTGACAGTTGGGAAGACTCCTCACTCCACACAGTATATTAAAAGCTGAATTATTTAATTTCAGAGTGAATAACAAAAGCCAGGGATATGGGATTGCTGTTTCAAAAAGTGCTCTTGTTGCCAACATCACATCAGCAGTAGGGATGTCTGCAGTAGAGAGAAGCTTGTGAAGAGTGAAAAATGCTACATTTCTAGGAGTGCTTCTGCAGACTGCCTGATGGCCCCACGAGGATGGAGAACAGCACTGGCTGCCTTATTTTGGAGTTTTTAAGAAGTCTGGTTTATCTTCATTTTCTTTAATTTGGAGTATTTCACGTTTGCCCATTTTGTCCAGTGATTCTTTAGCAAAGCCACTGTCAGAGCAAGTTAGTGAATGCTAATGCAGCTCTTTGGGTTACTTTTCAGCAGGATTACCAGTGAACAAGCTGACATCTGCAGTTTGCTTTGGTTGACTGTAGAACAGCTTTCCATGCTGTTCATGGAACCAAGGGTGATTTAATGTTAGATTTTGTTCCTGGGATGCCACAGCAGTGTCTTGTTTTGTTCATTTTGCTTTGGCAAAACAGAGTGAACCTATTTGTGTGGGAAGGGAAAAAGGCTGCTATAATCTAAACATGAGAGCCTTGATAACTCTCTTGTTGTCATATAATTAAGAATCACCTGAATTGAATCAGATGAGAGATGCTAGACATCCCAGGATTGCAAACATTGCTTCTGGAGGTGGTTCAACAGGCTGAAGTGCCTTGCCATGGAAAATATGGCTGGTGTTGGATCCTGTGGTTTGTCTTTCATTCCTAGTTTGCTGAATCCATTTCACTCTTCTTTTTCCCATATCATTATAAATAATTGTGGTGGAGAAATGAAAACTGTTGATGCCTCTGTTTCTCCGTAATCCCAAATCCTCATTCTACGATAATTTAATCCAGTTGTCTCCGCAGCAAAAGGCTGAAGGAGAGGCATGAACACCAGTACTGCTGAGCTGCTCCCTTTCCCATTTACCCCTGTCCCCGTTATGGTGTCTCAAAGTGGGGCTGACAATGCTGGTGTCACACCCCCCTGTAACAGCATCTAGCTTTTCCCCTCAGTTGTTCCAAACCATTTTGTTCGGTTTGATTTACATCAACTCCATCGAAGAGGATCTCTGTGTGGAGCGTTTGCTGCATCTGCTTCTATTCCGTGTCCATCCTTTGCTGACGAAGGTACTGGGACTCGCAGCCCGGTGGGGGTTTTGTGTCATTCCAGAGTAACATCTGCAGGACAGATTCCAGCCCTGAGCGTTTTAGCACCGAATTGCATAAACTCTGTGTCATAAGTGGCTTACGCAGAGATCTCCTGCCCCCAGCGAGGTCTCTCCGCTCCTTGTCTTTGGGATTTTAGAGCTGGAGGTGATATATGTTGGATCACTGGCCTTTAAAATAATTCCTCCTTCATCCTTGCTGGCACTGTGGGGAAAAAAAACAAAACAAACAGGGAAGAAAACGAAATTGGCTGATGTTGAGCTTTCCTCCTGCAGAAAATGAACCCTTTTCTTGGAGAAAGCCTGGGGGGAGTTGAGGTCTTGTATCTTGTACCCTTGTATATCTTGTACTTGCGCACACCCTGCGTGGTGTGAACCCTCTGACGTGTGCCTTAATGCTATTTGTGAGTGATAAGATTTCCTTTTAGCTATGCTGATAATACTCGTATGAAAATCCCGTCCCAGTCAAAAGCTATTAAAGTTGATGTTATATTTCAGAGCATCAGCAGAAATAGGTTTATTTGGTCTCCTAAGGTGTTAAATAGCCCATTTTAGCATTTCTGTTCTCCTTATTTATAAAGCGCATCAGCGCTTATTTATCGGGACAACATAAAGTATGAAATCCTGGCTGTGTTTGGGAAAAGTAATAAAATCATACTTGCAAAAGAGGTGTCTCCATAATATCTACTGACCTATTGCCATTTAGGAGAAAAAAACCAGTTGGTATTACCCTTTTTTTTTTTTTTTTTGGATACACAGCACTCCCATTTTTTTAAAGTTTTCATGGGCCATAATGGTTTCTAGTTCTAAACAGTGAGGGTTTCTTGAGCCTGTAAGACTTGTGAGACATTTACCTGATGTCTGTTAGAGGACGGGATAGTCCTTTTTCCTTTTCCAACTCCAAATTGTGTTGAGTGATATTTAAAACACAGTGCTTTGAGCAATCAGCAGTGGGTGAGATGTGCTGCTGTAGGACTGGGATGGAGAGAGCAAAGGTCCACAAGATGCTCTGAATAGACTGGCCAAGTTTAGAAACTCCTGCGTTAATGCTGGACCACACTACATACCTACAACAAGAATGATATTATTTGATCTATTCCTTTTAAAAAAACCAGCAAATATTTGTATACATTTCAGTTGTAACAGGACCAGCACGATCTTTGTAATGAAGTGAATAAATTTGGGATTGCTGCTGCTTAGCATTATCTTTTCTATTCCACTATGCTATCCTAGTGTTATCCAGAGTATTTACGTACTCACTTGGTTCTCAGAAGTCCCAGAGAGGATATGCTCATATTTTTTACCTTTAAGACTAAAAATAGTTTGGTTATGTTCTGTTTAGAAAGAAATGAAAAGCTTTTTCCATTGGGTTGGAGTAGAATCCCTGGGAAAGTGGTGTCTGAGTGGCTCTGTGGGGAGCCCAGTACACGCTCCTACGTTGTGCACAGCTCCCAGGTGTTGTGCTGTCATTGCTGAAACATTCAGGTGTTTGATGCAAGGCTCTGATTTATGATGTCATCAACACAAGCTGACAGCTCCAGGTCTGCTGGAGTTGATGAAGCAATGCACTGGCTGTGGGTCAGGGTTTGGGTGAGGCCAAACCTTTGCCCACAGAGAGAAGGGTGGAAGGTGAACCAGAGTCAGTGCCAGGCATGGGATCATAGAAGCATTAAGTTGGAAAAGTTAAGATCACTGAGTCCAACTGTCAACCCAGCAGCACCACCATGTTCACCACGAAACCACATCTTCAGGTGCCATATCCACACATCTTTTGAGACACCCTGAGAGATTCTGAAACTCAGGTCAAATTATTATTTTGTTATTTTTCAAACACCTCTTGAACTCTGTCAGGCTCAGTGCTGTGACCATTGCTCAAGTCCCCCCTTCCAAAAATCCAGAGGCAGCAGATTTCCTCTTCCTGAACTCACAATTCCTGGAGACAGAGCTTTATCCAGCACTCCCTGGCTGGGTGCACACGTGTCAACATGCATTGCAGCAGAGGGAGCACAGATGGACATTTAGGAGACACTCATCTCTCACTGTGTCAGCACGAGGGGGAAAAAAATAACAAAATAATCACTTGAACAGAGTATTTCTGGAGGTAATTAAGAAGAGATCATTATTTCTAGAGGTGTTTAAGAAAGAGACTGGCTGTGGCATTGGTGCCGTGGTCTAGCAGACAAGGCGGTGCCGGCTCACAGGTTGGATGATCCCGGAGGTCTTTTCCAACCTGGTTGGTTCTGCGACCCGAAGGGTCGCACGAACCCCGTGGCGGCAGCGGGACATTCATCGGGGTATCCGCGGGGTATCCGCGGGTGTCTCAGCGTGCGCGGCGGGGGCAGCGCTCCCATTGCGGGGCCGGGCCGGGCCGGGCCGGGGCGGGGCGGTGGCGGCGGCGGCGCCAATGGGAGCGGGCGGGCGGCGCCGGGCGCGGGCGGCGGAGCCTCTCGGGCGAACAAAGAGGGAGCGGGAGAGCGCGGGGGCCGCGGGGGCGGTCGGGCCATGCGGGGCCGGCGGTGAGGCGGCAGGCGCTCCATGGCCCGCGGGTCGGCGTGAGGCGCGGCGCGGGCCATGGCGGGCGTGAGCTACTCGCCGCCCTGGTGGGTGAGCCTCCTGCACCGCCTGCCGCACCTCAGCCTGCGCTGGGAGCTCACCGCCGCCGACTTCCGACCGCACGACGCCGAGTACCAGCAGGTGGGCGCTGGGCAGAGGGCGCGGGAGGGGGCTCGGACCGCCTGGGAGTGAGGAGGAGGAGGAAGGGGGGATGCCCGGCCCCCGCTAGGGCTCCCCGGGTGGGTGCCTTGTCCCCCTGTTCCGGGAGGTTTTGGCAGGCAGGGGCTGCCCCCTCCATCCCCCAGCCCAGGGTCGGGCAGGGGTCTCGCTGGTTGTCGCTGCCGGCGAGGTGAGCAGGAGCCCCGAGCTGCGCTCCCCCGCCTCCCACCAGGCTGCTGGAAGCCCCAAGTTCTTCCTGGGAGAAGGTGAAATTATAAAAGGGTTAAGGTCGGAATGGACCTCCAGGGTCATCGTGCCCCAACCTTTGACCGAACGCCACGGCGCTCACTAAGCCGTATCGCGGAGCGGCCCCGGCGGCGGGGCTGGAGCTGCCCTGGTGGGTGCCCTGGCCGGGTCCCAGCGCTGCCCAGGCGAAAGCATCGCCCCGGCCTGGTGTCCCTGGCTGGACCACAACCCCCCCATCGCCGGCGATAACCCCGTGCAGGCTGCGCTGACCATCCTCATTGATGCCACCAGCCCTGCAGAGAGGCCAGCAGTGCCTTCCCAAAACCGACTGCCTGCCTGCTGGAAAACAGATGACTTAATGCACGAGAGCGGCGTTAGCATCAAGTGCACGGGAGGATGCTCACACAATACTTGTGTGCCGCTTTTTTTTTTTTTTTTTTTTTTTAAATGCTGCTTAGCCCGTATCCTGTGCTTGGTTGGCTAGGCATGTAATTAAAATGATTGTGGAGTGAATCTGTGCGCTCCAACATCTGTGATCTCTGCTGTCATCTTGGAACAGAGCTGCAGTGGCTCTGCTGCCTCGTTTTGCCACGGTCTCTGGTTTTGAAAACACCATTTTGCTTTTCTGAACATACTTGCAGTGTCCTATATATGCAGCCTGCTGTCATGCACACAGGCAGGAAGGCTGAGGCATCTAAACAGTCCTCATTTTATCCTGGAAATAGAAGGTATTAGAAATACTTCAGAAATCAGTATGTTTTGGCTTTTTGTTTTAAACAGATGAACGAATCTGTGGGCTGATGCTAGAGCAAAATGCGAGAGATGTATTTAAAGAGCAATGGATGGATACAAAGAAACATCTTGAAACCTGTAAATCAAAGGGACTTCTGACATAACTTTGTATTTGGGGCTTCAATTTGTTAATTTTAGTTCCCTTGGCTTAGCAGAGTTCAAGATGGCCACATGCAGATGTAATGCTGCACAGCAGCTGAGCTGTATTTCCATGACCTCAGAGGGTAACTGCCTTTAAAACAAGGTATATGAGAAGCTGGAGATCAGAAGTTAAGAGTCCATGGAAAGATGTTCCTGGGAGTGTGTTATCTTGAAAAAAGCAGTAGTTGACCTTTGAATAGATGGCAGATGTACCAATTTTCACTTAAATTGCTGAAAAGCATTCCTAGCAACAATCTGGGGTTATGTTTGTTTGTCAGATAATTTTTCTACAGTAATCATGTTCCCACTTCAAGCCTTCTGCTGTTCTCCTCCTGTGTAGCTGCCTCCCCTCCCTTGATGATATTAAGGACTTCTCGCACAGCAGTCGATGGCCTTTTAAGTCTTAACATCAGCCCGCGAGAAAACGTCTCATCAAATCCAAACTCGAATGTCTGGATTACTGAGGCGTCTGCCGTCAAGAGAAATGATTTGGGCAGCAGCAGCTTTGCTGGTTTTGGTGCTGGTGAGGGGGAGCAGGCAGGCTCCAGCAATGCAGCCTTTGCTATTGGTGTCGTGGTTATATAACGAAGCTGCTGTGGCTCTGCAAGTTGACTCTGGAGTTCGTAGCCACACGGATTAATTCTAATGCAGTGAAACGGGGAAACTTAATCCTGGGCTGGGAACTGAAATGCTGAATGCTCTCTCATGCTTTAAATTGTTCTGAAGGCCTTTTGGTTTTGAGTTCTAGCTTTTTTTCCCTCTTAAGCTTTGTTATGAATGTGCATCTCTTGCTCTGTTTGCAGCCTGTGCTGGCATTGTCTCCCCTTATCTTTAGGAACTCGTTGTATTTAGCAGGTGGGATTGTATACATCCTCAAAATAAGGAAGTCCATTTTTAATCTTAAATTATACTTATTTTTCTTTACTTTGTAGGTCTCATTGGCACAAATTGTGTGTATTTTTGTTTATATTCCATTAGTGATTGGTACTCTGATTCTTAAGTATGAACTGTTAAACTGCACACTGCATTTGAGTTCTCCAGAGGTTGAGGAGAGGTCAGTTGCGAGTTTATGGGGATGATTAAGGGTAGGGTATCCCTAGCTGTAGTAAGGAAAGAGCACCTTTACTAAACTGCCATCATAAATAGACACACAGCTGGGCTCAGTGTCCCTTCCCATTCTGATTTGTTATGAGGAAGGAAGCAATGTATCCTTTCTGATTCTTTACTGCTTTTCTAGAAAAGGTTTCCCAACCCATGGCCAAGGGAAAGTATTGCTTTCCTTATAAAACTGTTTTCTTTTGTAACCTCTAAGTAAATATTTACCTGTTCCTTGTACTCACGTTTTGATGACAGGCTTTGAATTTGTGCATCAACTGAACATCTCACTTCAGCCAGAAGTGAAATGCAGTGCCTGTTGTCATGTCACTTGTTGCAGTGCCACGTGCTCCTGCAGGTGAGGAGGCTGCTGATTTAACAGGCTTTCCACCTCTGCCTGGTGAGGATTAGTGTGATGCACAAGCCGCTGTTCCACTGAAGCAGCAGATGAGCTGTTGTCCCCTGAAACCTCTCTGAAGCACAGGTAGATAAGCACCCACTGCCAGTCTTTGAAGTCCAGCCCTTTGTCACGTCTTCTGGGACCCTGGATGATGGGAATATCTAGCAGGATGCAGATCTGGTGGCTACTTGTGCCGTTCTGTCCCGTGTAGTCCCCTTGGTCGGGGCAGGAGAGACACCCCCTGTGCACCAGCCTCTCTCAAGGCAGCTGTGTCCATTGTGTACCAACCTGCCAGGGCTTCCTCCTTTTGTCTGAGAGCATGAGAAATACTTATGGTGGTGTTGCTGCCAAGGGCTGACATCAGTGCAGCTGCAGGTTTTGGCTGCGTACACCTGAGTTGGGCTCTGAAACACTTTCTCTTGGTATTACTTACTCTTATCTTCTCCCACAGCATATCTTGTTGCATTAGGCTAGAACAGTGTGTGCGAGTGTGGAGGAGCAGAACAGATCCTTCCCCTCCAGACTAGATTGTTTAAAAATGTATGTGTGCACTGATGTCCTTCAGATGCTCCACTTCCCCCAACGACAAGCTGTGGACAGCAGTACAACCAGTTGTTTGTTTGTTTGTTTGTTTTTCTGGGGGAATTGAGGTGAACCTCAATGTAGATTGAACTGGGGTTGTAATCCCTCTTCTCCAAGGGGGTTTGGCACGCTGGTGAGTCCTATCAGAGCTGCCTTCCTGTGCTGCTTGCAGAACTTGCTCCATAGCCCTCCCTATAGAGGATCTTATCAGACCAGTTCTTTTCCTAATCCTCCCATGAATCATTGGGGTTGAAAATATCTTGATATGAACAGCTTTGTTCTGGCTGTATTCTCATCTGAGTCATACTGCAGTGCTCTGCAAAGCCTTTTCATTGTGTAGTGAGTCACAAATTCTGGAGTGAAGGGAATGTAAAAATGGAGCAGAACTCCTGTTCCTTCTGACAGCATCATGCTAATACCAGTTCTGGTGTCCTTGCCCTTTGCTGCTGAACAAATGATCATCTTACCACTACTGTCCACTTACTTCCAATTCAGTTGACTGGCCCAGTAAGATGGCCCTGAGACTGCTGATGTCACTGCTTTAATCTGTTTAGTAATGTAAGTATTTGTGACTGACTTAGTTGAATTCACTTTCTTTCTCAGGGTAGAGTTGGTTAAGAGCCTTGAGGTTGTGTGGAAGGTCACGTGCTGGAAAGAAGCAGAAAAGCTGAATAGCTTTGGTAATACAGCACAACAACAGGTAATGGGATATCTGCTTGAGTCAGGGTGTCTGTGGCACTGACAGAAAAGGAGCCCACAATACTTTAGCTCTTGAGTCTCTGTGTGCTGAGAAGTGTACTGTGAACAGTGAAGGAGAAAAGGGGCTGTAGGAGCTAAGCCAGGGAGCACCTTGACTTGAATTTCAGCTTCGTGCTCATTGCTGGAAACTGGCAGTGTTGACACGACTCTGTGTAAACGCATGGGCTGTGTGTGAATCAGGCTTGGATACAGCAAAGTTCCCCAGCATCTCTGAAACTCACTCCTTGCACCACTTCGTGCTTTCTCAGTAAGAGTCAGAACTGCAGATGCACAGTTAGTAGGTGTAATGGCAACAGTGTGTGCTTTGGAAAATGACTGGATGATTGATTCACACCAATTAAGATGCAGAATCGTGCTGAAGGAAGCATCAACAAGAGCAGGGATATGCTCTAGTCCTTGGTTTTGAGATGGTCTCTTCAGTGTTGTCACCCAGGAGTTCCCTGTCATACATCTGTCAGTGCTTTTGTCCCGTAATGTTCTTTTTCTCCTACCAAACTTGTGCTGAGGAGGGACCCAGCAGGGAAAGGTGCTGTGTAAGCCCAGAGAGGCTTCCCTTCTTCTGGCTGGCCAACTCTAAGCCAAGGCATGTGTGTTTGAACCCGTAGCCAAAGGTTCAGCAAGGAATTAATTCTGTCAGGTACTCTCTGGCTCTGTGAGGCTGTTTCCCTGCACATAACAGCTAATGTCATCTTTGGAAGTATTTCTTGGCTGGAGAAACATGATGGAGCCTAAACTGCCAAAGAACTTGGATTATAGAGATTGTTTTAGAACTTCCTCTACTGTACTGGCATCTTATTTCAATTTTGAAACCAAGAGTCTTTCGGTAAATTGGAAACATGTGTATTAGTCAAGTTGGATGACGTGTTTTTGTCTAGTTGGCTCAAAGTCAGAGGGTAATGTGCCTTTCTTAAAGGGGTTGGACTGAAGGTTTCTTTCTTTCAAGAATAGATGGACCATTTCCAAGGTC